CATCATCATGATTGTGATTGCGGACGCAGTTCACAACGGTTGTCGAGCGAAGACACGATGCAATGTAAGAACTTACCGTATCAGAACCGGCCCCAAATATCACACCTGCAAGGTATGCCACTTCCTCATCTCCGAGCTGGTACTGTTTCTGGTGCTCTAACATGAACCTTGCAAAGGATGGCCTTGCAGTCCCCTCACGCTTTACAGTGATGAGCGAAGATATATATCATGAAAACAAAATCACGAACCATTTGTCTTCGCACCGCGTCCAACTGCCCGTCATAGAAAGTAAGTTCTTCTTTGTGCCATGCCTTCAGCTGACTCAAGTAGCCTGGTACGAAACGCAGGATGGGATATGCATCCACAAGGTATGCTCCCGGCCTCATAGCTTGGCCTATACGCGCAGAAAACCTATTGATGTCAACAACTTCAGGATCTGTATATGAAGTCGGAGTAATCTTTCCATAGGTGAAGGACATGATCACGGAAGCTGAATAACTAAAATCCTTGGATTACCACCTGTACCGCGACTAAGAGCTGGTGTTCGTACCGCATGGCATGTTTCTGGTGGTTCTTTGGATCATTTAAGATATCTAGAACCACATTCTTCGCATGCCTGGTCTGCATGGGCTCGTAGGTCTCCGCAACCTTAGGTTGCAAGTTTGCATGCAAGACCCTGCTTTACACTTAGTCTCACTGATCGCACCTGGTAGAGACAAAATGTGTACCTGCGCAGCCGGCGCAATCTTTCACCAGTGCCCTCAAGGACCACTCTGAACCCCCCAGACAACGTCTCGTGCACTGCGATAGAACGTGGGCGGTCGGCAAGATTTGCTCCCTCTTTTTCCATGATATCCACTGCAGCCTGTGACGTGATACTTCATGCCTGACTAGACAATGTATTGTTTTATGCTGACCTGATGACGTCCTATAACTACGAAAATCCTATGGCCTTGTTTGAGCGAGAACACAGGTCCGTACTGTTCTGTCCATCTCGCGAATTGAAACGGCACACTGCATGAGGGGTTAGATAGAGATCCTGATCATGCTGGTGTACCTTGAAAATGACTTACAATGATTTCGGCATCGCATTTCCTAATAGCCAACGTCCAGGTGGTCCAGGGGGTAACGGCAACCGTCTTGCGGCCTGGCATCGTTGTTTCACTATCCAGATGCTGGCTAAGATAATGATAACGGTGCATGCGGGGATGATAATCGCCATTGAAATGGTCCGGCTTGTTAATAGTCACGATTCAGACCTCCTGCTACTTTGCAACACGAAGTAGCCCAGAACAGAGAGGTGGTGACTTACTGTGATGTGCGAGTCAGTGCGACGGGTACGGTGAGATTAGTGTACATGATTACGCTGACTTATATTTATACAAACACGGATTGAACACCTGCGCGGATAAATCGGACCTGTGCGACTCACGCATTGCGGTCTCCCTATACTAGTATAGTAGGAACCTGATGACCACCCTGGTGATAAGTTAGTAGTGAACACGCGTGTTCCAAGACATTTCGACTCCACCTGAAGATTGAGGTAGATCTTCATGTCGTTCTCGATGACCCGTTATATTGATCGTGGCACAGGATCGTCGGTTCACAGAATATTATAATGGAGGTCGACTCGGCGGAAGTTCAGTATTCTGAAATAAAAATTTGTACTCCGAACTGATAACCTAATTACTAATGCAAGAAGCTTGATGCCCTGTACAAAGTTCTATTTTTAGAATGATGACACACTTTACTTCAGCTGAGTGGCCCGATCGAGTCGAGCTCCATCATGATTACAATATTTTGTAAACCTAACGGTCGACGGTCCTGTGGCACCAGCAATCCAACGGGTCATCGAGAACGACATGAAGATCTACCTTAATCTTCAGGTGGAGTCGAAATGTCTTGAAACACGCGCGTCCGCTACTAACATATCATCGCCAGGAATCAGGATGGTCAGCATCAGGTTCTTATACCATAGGAAGACCGTAATACGTGACTCGCACAGGTCCGATTCATCCGCGCAGGTGTTCAACCCGTCTTTGTATAAATATAAGTCGGTGTAATCGTGCACACTAATCTCACCGTACCCGTCGCATATCACAGTAAGTCACCACCTCTCTGTTCTGGGATACTTGACGTATTGCAAAGTAGCAGGGTGTCTGAATAGTGACTATCAACAAGCCAGACCATTTCAATGGCGATTATCATTCCCGCATGCACCGTTATCATTATCTTAGCCAGCATCTGGATAGCGAAACGACGATACCAGGCCGCAAGGGAGTTGCATTTACCGCCTGGACCGCCTGGACGTTGGCTATTAGTAAATACGGTGCCTAAGTCACAGTGAGTCTTTTGTCAAAGGACACCAACGCGATCTCTATCTAATCTCTAATCCCTCACGCAGTGCGCCGTTTCAATTCGCGAGGTGGACAGAACAGTATGGACCTGTGTTCTCGCTCAAGCAAGGCCATAGGATTTTCGTAGTTATAGGACGTTTTTGGAGTCTTTTCGTTGTCAGTCCGACTCAAACTCATCGTTACACCTAACTTTGTATATCTTCAAACAGGCACGATTATAATAATGAACTTGCACCCCTTGGTGTTACCACGCATCAAGTATCTCTCGATACACCGCGATAGTCTCCAAGTTGCGTTGCTGATCATGAGCCATTTACAGACAGCCCCAGACAAAATGAAGTATAGTACTCAAGTGCTATCATTTTACCATTAAATTATTCCACCACCACCCATGCGCTTTCTTTTTCTAGCTGGCTCAAATGACGAGCAGACAACTTGACTTTGCTCTCAAAGTTGACACGTGTTTCATGGTGTGCTTCCCAGTCTCATGGTTCCGGTCACGATAGTCTTTAACGCGGGTGACAGCCCCATCAGCTATACTTTCTCACCCTTCAGTTCGAAGCACCTACGCTGAAGCACCTCAAGCTATGTGACATCCTTGGCTTAATTCTTACTCGGCACTTCAAAGGTGAATTCAATTTGCACAGCCTGCTCCTACAGAACATCCCTGTCCTTCAATTCTGTAACAACTTATCTTCTACGGTCCTCCGCAAACATCTGGTTTATGTACGTTCATGTTGGAGTCTGAGAGAACGCACGTACCCGGAGATGAGTGACGTCGGACGACGGGCACAATCAAGCCATCCCCGACCGAACCGACCTTTTCGTATGTCTCAGTTTCATATATCTTTTCTCCTACTCCCCCCGTATGTTAAAACTATGTTGTCGATCTGGAAATGTAAGTAATCGAAAAATGGACCTTTCAGGTCTTTAAAGCTTCAGGCCTCAGGTGTGATCTCGCGGCGAGGGCGGCTGAGTCTCAAGATATCACCACATCTACAGGACTCTTGCAATATTCGTGATGAGGATTTCCGGGTCCACAATGCCCCACATCATGATGGTGGAACGGATGCTGCACATGCATGCGTTCAAGGTGAAAATGGTCATTATTCAAGAACCTACAATCCTGGACCCATTCTCATACGACGAGATATCATTGGCTCAAAAATCCCTTGTAACACCTGCAACGACATGCGGGACCTTCCACGAGCCTAGAAACTTGTGCTTCCGCTTTACCTGTCTCTTCACAGGTGCTGGTGGTGAGATTGGAGAGGATGGAAGGAGAGAATCGCCTAAACTTTTCTGCTTCATCTTCGTTGGACATGCTGACTTGTTAGCTTTCATCGAACTGTGCGCATCATTTATGAATGGAGTGCTTACTAGTAGATACAGACTGTGTGGGTGCTCTTATGTGGTTGTGTTACTGAGAACGAGAAAAATGTCTGCTTGGTTGCAAGCAGGGCCTTGATACTGAGCCCGACCTGTGCAAGAGTGAGCCGAGGTGAGCTGTTATTCCCACATTAGTAGGAGTGAATGCGACGCACCAAATTAAACGTCGAATCCCTAAATTGTAGGAGTCCGCAAGGGGACGCATCGAGGTGAGGCCATATGAGACAGTTAGTAGCAAAAGTAGTAAGAAGGCGTCCGTGCAGCGTATGAGCATAAGTGCGGGCATCTGCGTCAATGCGGGCATCCGCGTCAACGTAGAAGTTCGCGTCGGTGCAAGTGCCTGCGTCAATGCAAGTATCCGTGTCCACAAAAGTGCGGGAATCTACATGCGCACGGCAGCAGGTCTTTGCAAGGACGGTGATTAGTGATGCATTGGGCCCGGCCTGAAGCCCTCAGGCCCTTTGGGCCGAGCCTTCGTAGGCCAGGCCAAAGCCAGGCCCAAGGTGAGGGCTTTATAGGGCTTTGGGCCTGGCCTGTGAGTTGGACAGGCCCGAGCCTGGGGCTCAGGCCCAGGCTTCCCAGTTTGGAAACACCAGCGGCAAATTCCATCATGATGTGTGCAGTTTATGCGCCACTGGTGAGTGATTCTTTGTGTGACTAATCTACCGGCAGAACACGACGTACCGTACTGATGCCTCCCACGGTGATCTCAGGTGATGACACACCTGCCACTGTCACCGCGCGAGCCAAGCGCACTATCATTCCATCATCTCGCCTTACCGACTCTAACAACAGCGCAACGCCAGAACTCCGCAGCCACAAAAACATCCAACAGACTCTTCAACCTACGGCTATCAGCAACTCGCTTGGCACCAACCCGAGAAATGCTGGCAAGCGCAATTTGGCAGATGCAGACTGGACTCCTTCCTTGACGGAAGACTTAGTGGAGTTGCCCAGTGAAGGAGACGAAGTCGCGGGCCACAAGGTATGTTGCAGTATCTGCATTTGTGTACTTACTCTTCAATTCTATAGGAAAACGCCTTCGTCGGGCTCACAATCCATCATTTATGGATGACGCCCGTTCTTCTGCATCTCTCGTTGATGATGCAGAAGAGACTCCAAGTACTCGAAATGCGACACCTGCAGCCACAGATGATTTTTTGTCCGACATCGACGTACAGGACATATCGATGACACCTGTACTTCGACGTGAGGAGAGGAGCCGCGATGTCAGTGCGTTTTTCAGCAAACCCTATGCACACAAGGCCAAGGACGGGAAAACACGTTCAGTCCGAGACTGTGAGTTGTGCAAGTAAGTGCATATTCTTTTTTCACTATCTCCACTTACAGAGTCGCAGAACGAAAGGATACCCATGCCAGATCGTTAGCGACACATCAATGTGTCGACGCCATATTGCATTCCGGCATTCAGTAAGTTAGTTTTTCGTTCTGATGCTTGACACTCTAACATTTACTACAGAATAATTATCGCCAATGGTGCAAGACTAATAACTTCGAATTGATGTTGCCTCAAGATATCAAGGAACGAAAAACAGTGGTAGCTATTGCGAATGTGCAGCAAACGAGTCTCGATGGCCATCTGCAAGAAAAACCTTCCACTGACATTGTTGTCCCGTACACGAACACAATCTTTCGTGAAGCCGCTATTGGGTGGTTGATTTCCACTAGCCAGGTAGGTGTTGATTTATTGTATTTGTATTCACAGTGATTTTTGATTATTTTGCAGCCTATTCAAGCAATTGATCATCTGGCCTTCCAGAAGATGATTGCTGTAGCAGCTCATGCTATGAGCGGCGTCGTTCTGCCGAATCGTAACGCTACGCGCGGCGAAATCATGAATTTATTCAAGAAGCAGATGACGAAGTTAAAAGAATGCCTCAATGTAAGTTTTCGCTCGTACTATTTTAAACTAATGTTTTGTACTGATGTTGCAAACAGAGCAAGCTCGTGTCTGGCGCTGTCAACCTGACATGTGATGCATGGCAGGCCAGTAACGCGGATGGCTATTTTGCCGCTATGGGCCACTGGATCGAGGAAACATCACCCGGTGTCTGGCACCTTGAATGTGCCATCCTCGGATTCATGCAACTGAATAACTCCCACAATGGCCAACGTCTTGGGCAGGCTTTGTTCAAGATAGCAGATCAAGTGGGCATTGCTCATAAGGTAAGGTGTTAATGTGTTAAAATCTCGGTGCAGTGCTCACGTGGGTATTAGATTGGCCACATTACATGTGACAACGCCTTGAATAATGACACAATGCTTGATGAATTGGCACGTCAGATAAAGCAAGGGACCGGGACAACATGGATCCCAAAAAAGCGGCGCATCAGGTATAGTTGTGTTGTGATTTGTTTCATAATTCTACTAACATGGAACTTGAAGGTGCCTGGCTCATGTTATTCACCTTGCGACACGAGCTGTCATCTCTTCATATAGCAATGCCCCGTACTATAATCCTGAGCATCCTGATTTGTCTATCCCTCAAGCCCATGGCCGTCGAGATGAAATTGGTCTTGTGCGAGCCATTGCAGTCAAGGTTCGTCATTTTCTTGAATTATTTGACTATCATTCGAGCAACTATATCAGGCACGATTCTCGGCTCAATGAAAGCAACTTTGGAAGGACATCCAGACCCGTGCACCTAACACAAGCCCTGTTGTCTCACAACTGTTACTCGACATGCCCATCCGATGGTCCTCAACTTATGTAATGCTTGACCGTGCTGAGAAGAAGAGACCTGTATGTATGATAATATAAATGACGAGTCGAAACTAACTACTGTTCTTTAGTATGTTGATACTTTTGTCTACGAGCTTGGCCTTCGTGAGGCAAACCTTGTGAAACGAGCCAAAATTGATCAATTGAAGCTGAGTGAGGATGAGTGGGCTTGTATTACTTTATTTACATCTCTCCTAGCCGTGAGTAGGAAGTTCCCTTCGTAACTTAAGCTGATTATGACTTTAGCATGCCGACAAAGCCCAGCAAAGTTTCTCGTCTGATAGGGGGGCATCCCTTCACCTTGCTTTGCCAGCTCTCGAGGCCTTACACAAGGCCTGGTTGACACGTTCTGAGAATCCCAAGTATGAGTCATTTCGTCAAGCCCTACAAGGAGGTATTGCGAAGATCCACGAGTATTATGACTGAAGTTTGGAGTGTGATGCATACATTATTTCAATGTGTAGGTGATCAGTGGCTCGTAGTAACATTGATATTCACTGTATTTAGTGCTCGACCTATCCTAGAAGGACTCTCACATCAAACCTTTTTGGGGTAAGGCCACACATGCCAAGGCTCTCAAGGAAGCCGAACGAATGGTGGGTCTTCTGTTTCAAGATATGCCAGTGATATATGCTTACATCTAGACTAGTTTAAGGACGAGTTTATTAAGTTGTATGGCGAGTATGGTGTTCCATCATCACCAAAAAAGAAGTCTGGTAAGATACATGGACTTCTTTGAGAGCTCTCTAGTGATGATGAGAGTGGTGACGAGGAACCGGAAGAGTTGGAAGTGGATCCTCAGCTGCCATGGTTAAGAGAGTTCAACCTCTACCTTAACTCACCTACTCTCATTCCCAATAATATGTCTATCATTCAGTGGTGGGGGGTAAGGTATCATTTTATGTCAACTGAATTGTTGCTAATCTAGCTTAATGTTATAGGTGAATGCTCGTCAGTATCCTGTATGGGCATCCCTCGCCCGTGATCATTTGTCTATCATGGCTACTTTGGTTTCAAGTGAGCGAGCTTTTTCTGCTGCAGCTCTGACTGTCACAAAGCATCGTAACTGCTTGAAGGGTGATGTTGTGGAGGCAATTCAGGTGCTTCGCATGATGTATCAACGTGATTTGATCTTCCGAGAGGCTCCTACTTCAACTTTAGAGTTAGCATCAGAGGGACTGGATGATGGCGAGGAGGAGGACATTTCAGATGTATCAGATGTTGAGTATTGAGTCTAATTGTCTAGTAGTGAAATAAATGTTTTTGCACATTTTTTACTTGTAAGCCCTGGCCCAGGCCTGAGCCAAGCCTGAGCCAGGCCCAAGCCCTCCTAAAGGGCTTGGCCTGAGTTTTTTCCAGGCCCGAGCCCTCTAAAGCCAGGCCCGAGCCAGGGCTTTCAGGCCAAGCCAGGCCCGATGCATCACTAATGGTGATGACGCTCGCCAATGGTAGAAGGTGTCATAGTGACTGGGTGGATGATTCCTCCCCTTATCAGGTTTTGCGGTAAGGAACCTGACGAGAGTTCACAGCGGTGAACTTCCTACATGAGTGAGCTTGAGAGTCGGTTTGCCAGTGCTACTCGTGGCCAGCTTCCACACCAGACTTGTCTTTGTTGCACAAAACAATCTGGGCAGTTGGAGCTTACCGGAGTTTGTAGCAGAAAAGAAAATCAGAAAGGAGGACAGGGCACTGGAGCTTGCTAGAATTAATCTGCCAATGGGTGCTGTGGGGTACCTAGTAGGCAGAGAATAGAACCCACATACTGCACAGCCACTGCACGAAGTTCTCTGTTACCCACTCCACACTCCGCTTGTGAACTAGTAATTTCAAATATCGTTGGCCTTGCAAGTTGTGTACAACCTCAGCATTGCACAGGGTTGCCTCAGAATGTGATATGAGTCGGAGACTCATTGATATCCATGTATATTGACATGATGACCCATGGTTCTTCAAGGTGAAGGGTAAATAAATGAACTGTCTGTCTTTTAGTTGCAAGGCCTGACCGGAAACTTGCACAAATGGCGAAGACTTGGACAGGCTTGGCACAACAGCTCACCATCAAACTGGTCCAATGATAGACGCAACATCTTTGGCAAAAAGTTCAGCTAGCGTGTCGAGCGTAGCCAGATTATGATCATAGGCCCGGGCAAGTGTTATGTACAAGCTGCCACGCTTGCGACAGTCGACTAATTTCAAATATGAATCAAAACCCTAAAGTGCCAACACACTTCGTATGCCTCATGGTACACAGCTCTCCTATATTGATAACATCGCCCATTGCCCATGTACTGAATCTACTAGTAGATGCCGGCTTAGGGTTGGGTATTTGCCGGGTTCACACACTGCAATGATGATAAGGCTACACCAATGCTTAGGGCTCAGCAGGGGTATGGGTAACCCCTGTGGGTCATGGGTAGGGGTACTTGAGGGTATGGGTATGGGTAGTGGCTCCACAACCCATGGACCCCTGGACCAATGATGAGACCCTTGGACCATTAACAGGTCCCTTTATTGTCAACAACTGTATAGTACCAAAATAGCCACACAGAACTGTAATTTGACGAGTATAATTTCCTAATAGAGCCACTCTTCTCCCACCATCATCTTCTCCTGCCATCAAAGGATGTTACCTAAAAGAACCACGAGACCTACTGAAAAGGTGCTGGCTATGGCCACAGAAGGCCAAGCCAAGCGGAAAGCCATTGATAAGGCTTCTAATGCAACACCAGCATCAAAATGACCAAAGGTAACAGCATCCACTGATATAGAACCAAATAACAGCAGTCCATCATCCACTCGGAGTATCTATCGAGCTACTGTGAGGACTGAAGAAGAAGAGGCAGCTCACCAAGATGCGGATACCATCATATTGGATTCTGACTCTGATATCCAAGCTGCGGAGAGTTCTAAAGAAGATTTATCAGAATCGTCAGATGCAGAGCTAAGCAAGTACTTATGAAATATACTATCCAATGCTAACACTAGATGTAGAGAGACTCATGAAAGATTGGTCGTCACCAATCTATGCCTTTTTCGAACCAACACCAGCAATCGAGTACCATGACAAGCGCAGGTGCCATGTCTTCAAATGTGCTGCGCATGGCTGTAAGCATCACATCCGACGGTACCTGGACAAAAAAGATGCTAAATCAACTGGTAACATGAGAAAACACGTCAAAAGTTGTTGGGGAGAGGCAGCCTTACAAGCTGCAATGGATTTAGGTAACACTGCAGCTGCTTGAGATGGGCCTATTAAGACTCTACTTGAAACCGGATCAATTAAAACATCATTTGAGCGGAAAGGAAAGGGAAAAGTTACCTATTCACACCGTCAACACACCCGCGCTGAGACAAGGTTCGTTTTAAGCAAGCACACTCAATGAGACACCACTGATAGTACACAACCAGGGCAGAGGTTGTCCGTTGGGTGTCCGAGAGTCTACGACCGTTTGAGATGGTCAATGATCAAGGGTTTCAAAATCTAATGAAGACCAGGCGGCCAGAATATTACTTACCATCCCCGTCCACTGTTGCATGCAATGTTAAACAAGATTTTGTAAAGACGTGGAAGCGCATCGCAAATATGTTACAGGTAAGTTAAAGTTAGCATGCGGTGACATGAGCTAAGAACCTCACCAGAATTACGAGGGCGAGCTGAATTTTGCAACAGATGCCTGGACATCCCCAAATCATAGGGCATATGTAGCCTTGTCAGTCTATCTAGAGCATGAAGGTCAGCCTCTAGCAATGATTCTTGATATCATTGAAGTTGCAAAGGTAAACAAAACTTACCGTCAATGGAAATCACGCTAATGAGCGCTAACAGACACACACTGGCGCTAACTTGGCCGAAGTATTTGCAAAGGTCCTAGAAGACTTTGGAATCTCAGATAAGGTAAAATAAATCATTATCAGTCAGAGAGAACTCACCTGTAACATGGGGCACAGATGCTCAGTGTGACGGCAGACAATGCATCATCAAATGACACCCTTGTCACGGAGCTTGTGGATCTGGTGCCCCACTTTGCGGGCGAGACAAGCCGCACACGATGTTTCTTGCACATCGTGAATCTCGTAGCTAAATCATTACTGCGTGAGTTTGACGCTCCAAAAAAGAAGGGTCGAGAGGGTTGAGAGACGGACGAAGAACTGGATAGACTTACTGGGGATGTAGAGCTCGAAGACTTGCAGACATGGTATGAAGACCCTGACAAGGGTGCCGACAACGATGACAATGGTGAAGGGTGGATAGACGAAGGGGCGTTGCTGGGCTGTGAAGAGCACTTAGAATTGGCAGGCAGTATTCGGCCAATCAGATTTGTACTTGCAAAGGTCATAACAAAATACTTACCTGTGTGCATAGCCTGACTCCCATTGCAGCTCCGCAAAGTCGCATTCAAAATCATCCATTCTACAACCATCCTACTTCCTGCGTGGAAATCAATCCTCGATAACTTGGAACTTGCTCCACGAATAATGCCACGGGACATGTCGACTCGATGGAATTCGACATTCGACATGTTGAATTTTGCGTTGGAGTACCGGAAGGCGATTGACGCTATCACAGACAAGCGTAAGCTTGGTCTTGGGGAATATGCACTTGAAGATGAGGAATGGATGCTTGCAAAGCAACTGCGCGATGTATTGAAGGTGACTTAGTCACATGCTCGTCACAATGCATACTAATCACATAATCACAGATTCTCAAGGATGCTACACTGTACTTTTCACGCGGGACACCAAACCTCACCATGGTCATCCCTGCGATGGACCACATCGACAATGTTTTCACTAATTGCACCATCAAGAATGAAAACCTCGATCCTGCCATCCGCTCTGCTCTGGGACTTGCAAAAAGAACACTAAACCACTACTACTCATGCACTGACTCCTCTGTTGTGTACCGCATTGCCATGGGTAAGTGTTTTGTTATTTTTTGTTTAATTCTACTAATTCTGTTATAGTCCTTCATCCCCGTCACAAACTTTCTTATTTCAAGGCTGCTGGCTGGCAGGACGACTGGATCCACACAGCCGAACAACTCGTCCGCGATGAATTCAAGCGCTATGCGTCTCATTCACTTGCTACCACTAACAATGCTACAACAGTAGCTGAAGTCAACGAGGTGCGTACTGAGAGTAATTTTTACTGTTATTGTAGCTAATATACATCTCAAACACACAGGACAATGACTCTATGAATATTTTCGACTCCCTACCCATGCTCACCCATCCCAAGCGCACTGCTTCAGTCGAGGAACTCAACAACTATCTCAACATGGATACTGAGGACGTTATGGACCCATTAGCATGGTGGCATGGGCATCGGAAGACTTATCCGCAACTCTCTCGAATGGCGTTAGACTACCTCACCATTCCAGGTATGTTTGTATCTCAGTGCGGTCGATATTCTCTAACATTTGTTATACCAGCAACGTCTGTTGACATCGAGCATATTTTCAGCCGTGGACGGCTACTTCTCTCGCATGTCCGAAACAGTCTCTCCACACAGTCGACGTGCGCACTCCTTTGTGTTGGGCTTTGGAGCCAGCTAGGATTGGTGAAGGATACTGACATTCAGTCTGTTTCTAGCCTACCTGATGTCACCGGCGACGACGAGGCACTTGATGATGGGTGGGATAGTATCATATTGGACTAGGTACTTATACTACTGACTCATGTTGTTACCTACATATGAATTGCATCGCGGGTACGAGTATACCCGCAAGACCCTTGACCCGTGGCATACCCATGTAGAGACCCGTACCCTTAGGTACCCATGGGTGCATGGGTACGGGTAGCAGAGGGGTATGGGTGTGGGTTGCTCTCTCGACACCCGCGGGTTTACCCCTGCAGACCCCTACCAATGCTTCTCCATGACTCACATTTACTGCTACTTCCCCCATGGATCCCTCAAAGATAAGAGAGAAAATCGGTTGCTTTTGTATCCTCGTCATAGGAAGAGCGAATGCAGGAAAAACTACCATCCTGCAGAGAGTTTGCAACACACGGGATAATCCAGAAATCTACAACAGCGCTGGGAACAAGGTGGGCATCACAATGCTAGTAGGAGTCACATGGTAGTGACCCATTGACATTAGATTGACCTTACAGTTTTAATGGCATCTAGAGAGGTAAGGTGTGCTCCTAGTCGACGCCATGAACTGACGTGCTCTCAGCGCGGACTGCATGACATCGAAAATGAAATGGTGTTCAAGAGCAACCCGGGGTTCATGTTCCATGATTCATGCGGTTTTGAGGCAGGCAGCATATCCGAATTCAAAAAGGTCAAGGCATTCATTGGGAGCCACTCCAAGGAAACAAAAATAATGAATCAACTACATGCTATCTGGTAATTACAACTCATCAATCACGACGATGTGCTATCTCACAGATTCAACATAGGTACTGCATTCCCATGGACGAGGCCAGTAGGTCTTTCACTGCAGGTGAAAACAAATTTTTCTCTCAATGCAACACAGGAAGCAGTACACTTTCACATGCCACCCTCGTTGACGTTCAGCTGATACGCAGAATCACAATCCTCAGTTCCAGTGATCATATTGTTCACCAAATTTGATGCCCTATATGACGTCGAATATGCAAATCTAAGGGAGGAAGGAAGATCTCGGAAAGACACCAAGGAACTGGCCCCGAAACAAGCCGAAGAGTCATTCCCTAACAGGCCACAATTGAAGTTTCTCAAGGATGTGTGATGGCCCCCAAAATGTTATGTATGCCTTTCTAGTAAGCCGGTTCGTGGTCGAGTCACGATACATGATGACCTTTGATCTATTAGACATGGAGAAGGATGATGCAGATTGCAAGACACTCATCGAGCGCATGGCTGGAACTCTGGATAATGAAGTGCTTCAGCAATTATTCGTCTCGACCCAGCAAACCAACTTGGAGATCTGCATGAAATATGCAGTTGAGCGGTAACTACCCATGGTCTCATTCACCTGCCGCAAGCGTTAGTGACTGATATTGCACAGAACACTCTCAAAACATTTTGACTCTGCAGAGACAACAATATCTGAGGATTATGAGAGGATAATAGTGACACTGGGCGCCTGGTTTCCACACATTTGGGTAAGATTATCGTACAGTTCGAACATTGCTCTCATTTACGTTGAGCATTTACTTGCAGGCAGTATGTGTGTCAATCATTGTTTGAACTTGAGCTATGCTGATCCAAGTCGTTGCCCACTGTTCGCAGGATGTGAGTGTGTCGATCCTCGTTCGAGCAACAGCCATGCTAATCCAAGTCATTGCCCACTGTTCGCAGTTGGTGAGTGTGTCGATCCTCGTTCGAGCAACAGCCATGCTGATCCAAATCGTTGCCCACCATTCGCAGAGAGTGAGTGTGTCGATCCTCGTTCGAGCAACAGCCATGCTGATCCAAGTCGTTGCCCACTGTTCGCAGGAAGTGAGTGTGTTGATCCTCGTTCAAGCAACAGCCATGCTGATCCAAGCTGTTGCCCACCATTGGCAGGATGTGAGTCCGTTGACTTTTTGTCGAGTTCAAGCATTCCTGACCAACGCAATTGATCATCTATTGGCAGGAGGTCAGTACATTGATCCGCTATCGACTTTCAGCAACTGATCGAAGATATCGCCTATTCATTGACAGCTTGTGAGTATAATTATCCTTTGTCGACCTCCTGCCTTCCTTACCAATGCAATCGCTGATTTATTGTTAGGATGTGGGTGTATTGATTCTACGTTGCCCTCACTGACCGAACACAATCCTGCTCTGTTGACAGATTGTGAGTTCCTCAATCCACCATCGAACGCGAGCCATACTGACCAACGACATCGACCATCCATTCACAGGATGTAAGTGCATTGATACACAGTCAAATTGGGGCCCCACTGACCATTGAAACTGCTCATCCCTGTTGACAGCTCGTGAGTGTGTTCATCTGCCATTGATCTCAAGCCTTGCTCATCGACTACATTACTGATCTGTTGACAGTCCGTGAGTCTTTCAATCCTCATCCTCATCCTCAATTGAGCTCTAGCTTTGCTCATCCATTGCCAGAAAGTCAGTGTGCTGATCCTTCAACGAGTTCGAGGTTTGCTAAGTTACCATTGAAATCGTGCATCCTTCAATAGTAGAGGGTGGGTCTCAAGCCTTGCTAGCGAACGTCATCGCTGATCCATCAATAGGAACTGTTTCACCACAATCACTGTGTAGAGATAGAGTCTAGGTGTCACGAGTTCCAAATACAAACCATTATACTTTCCTAAATTCAAAGTCCTTTAAGCGCACAAGTACAGCGCCTGTACCAAAAGATAAACCTAAGAACATATTTATAGTTGAAGAAGCGCCTACGGTGTCTATTGTAGAATTACCGAATATCACTGTACCTGAATCACATGACGATGACAGTATGCCATGCGACACTCTTGGAATGTTCCAGAGTCTTACTGCGGCTGCGACACATGTTATGACATCATAGTTATATAAAGAATCGTACGATATTTTTAAATTATTCTCATTGGTTAGTCAGTTCATACTCAACTTCAATCTCCGTTTCAATATATGTATATAGGTAGTGTCTTGTAGTCAGTAGTTCTTTAGTTCAAACCTCTTGTATCTCCAAGTGAGCAATCCAAGACGTACCTGCTGCCTCATCCTTGTTGTGATCTTTCTGTGTTTGAGTCCTAGTCTCTGCCCTGCGTTAATTTGTTTAAGGGGTTGTGACATTAGGTTTGAACTATAGGAGACTCCGACTCCCGCGTTACACTCTCACACTTTTTCTCTTTGGCTATTTTGTGGAAAACCATCTTCCACCCAATACCCGAACAGACCGTTATTCTTTTTGCCCGGCTTAACCTGCCGCGACCCTTGTTTCAAAAACCTCTCCCCTTTGCTCATTTGAGCGCATCTTCATACATACTCCTTTTCGTAGTTAGTAGTCCTCTACCAGGCCCTGTGTTACTACAGCCGCCAGTAGACGGAGGTGTTGACGACATTAGGCATCTCGCTGCAACTTTGAGTGCTGGCCCAAAACCCTGCCTGCTCAACGTTACTATAGTTTCTTTTACCTATCCTTTTCTTCACACGCACTGTAGACACTTGTTTCGAGTTTAGTGGAACTGTCTAGGCTCTATTTCTGGCTTTTGACCTACGAGGATTTAGATACTTGTCCTAGTGAGACTCGCACATGTAAGCTTCGGCTGGAAGCGTGATAACTTGTCCTAGGCTTGTACCCTCAGAATGGAGATTGCCTTAGACCCTAGTTCTTTCCCACTCGATCGAGTATAGAACTCTTTTCGTAGTTAGTAATAGGGAAGATCGGTTGGGTTGATTAAAGAACCCTTCGATCCTGAGTACATGGTAGATCCGATCAGATATCGGGGACCAGCTCAGACTTTCCGTTTACATACATCTTTCCCACTTCCTTTTTCATCATCCTTCCTTTTCGGAAGAGCCCTTACGAGCAGCTCTTCACAGACATCAGTGAATCGGGTTCCAGAACACAACTGGCACTATGTCTGAACCAACCTTTCCCCAGATGAACGAACAGTTCATGCAATTTGTCCATGACCAAATACGGGCAAACAGTGAGATACTTCTCAGCAAGATTGCAGAACTAGAGCGCAAGAATCAGGAACTTGCAACCAAAATGGAGACCTAGAATTACGTCTCAAAATGCAAGAAGACGAAACCCTGAAACTTGCCACGCAACAACCATCATTCAGATCCGCTGGAGCAACGATGCTCTCATCCACCCCTAACATTAAATTCGCAAAACCCTCAGACTTCACCAGAGAAAAGGACTCCGTCGATGCAAAAGTATGGGTAGCCCAAGTAATCCTTATACATGTCGCAGTGGCAGAACATCTCGGAAAGACAACGCCTATCGGTCATGCTATCATTCATGAAAGGATCAGCTGGCAAATGGGCCCAGAGATATATCAGTGAGCTGCCAACACTGACAATGGCAAAGTTTGACAAAGAATTCACAAGCATGTGGGTTCAGGAAGACCAAGAGGGCAAAGCAATCCGAGACTTGGAAGCCTTAAGACAAGGTTCCTCGTCAGTCCCAGAGTACGCAGCCGCTTTCAAACAAAAGGCTGCACACACATCATTTTCCGACTACGACCAATGCCAGAAGTTCAGGGCGGGACTTCAAGACCACATCAAAGTGCAACTTGCACACGTACCATACTCGGGTAAAGACACCCTAAAGAAGTTGGTAGAACACGTGATCCAAATTGGACGCAACTTCGAAGAATTAGATGCGGACAAGAAGAAGACAACTTGGTGGACCCCGAGACAAGGCCCCAAGACCCCTGAATACAAGGCTGGTCCTAGTAAAGACAGTGACGCCATGGACGTTGACTCCGGCAGACAAAGAGGAGCTCCCAAGCCCCAAGGAAAGACTGGATCTTTCAAATGTTACCGCTGCGGAGAAGAAGGCCATATGGCAAGAAACTGCAAAGGCGCGCCAAAAGCGCAGGTGAAGGCTACTACAGTGCCACAAAAAGATTCGATGCCATCTTGGTTCAAAGAATGGGCCAAGAAAGAAGGCAAGGATTTTTAGGAGGGTCAAAGTCAGGATCTGCGGATTTAGACCCGAACAATCGTTTCTCCATCTTATCTACGTTTTCGGATGTATCAGAAGTATTTATTAGATCTAAATCTGAACATTTTTACATTCCGATTTCGTTGAAAGGAAAGAACCGACAAGCAGACGTGAAAGCTTTGGTAGATTGCGGTGCCTCAACATTATTTATCAGTGAGAAGTTTGTGAAGAAGAATGGAGTACAGTGCAGTAAATTATTAAGGCCTATTCCAGTTAAAAACATAGATGGCTCGTTAAATGCCGCTGGATTGATGACTCATTTCGCCGAGCTAGGTCTTAAAATCGGCGACCATGTTGAGGATAAAGCAGCCTTCATGGTTACAGATCTAGGAAGTGATGACATTATTATTGGCATTGATTGGCTAAGATATCACAATCCGGAAATAGATTGGAACGCAGGATGTTTCGCGTTATCTCGGTGCCCCGTTAAATGTATTACAAAAAAGAACAAAGACAAAAAAATAGAGAAAAAAGAAAAGAACAAAAAAAGATAGATAGTGTGCCAGATCTGATTCCCACAGAAGAGGATGATGAAGAAGACATGGCGATGAAAAGGGCGACGGTCGAGGAAATAGAAGATGAAGAGTATCCTGGAGAATGGATCAAGTATAAAGCCTCGGTCGCTACAGAGCAGAAGGTTGCAGAAGAAGCAACAAAGGTGAAGAAATCGGTTAAAGAAATGGTTCCTGATTGGCTTCACGAGTACCTGGGAGTTTTCTCAGAAGAAGAATCTAAGCGCTTCCCTGAAAGAAAGAAGTGGGATCATGCGATAGATCTTAAAGACGATGGTGATCTTCCGCCGAATGCGAAACCTTACCCCTTGTCACCTAAGGAAATGGACACCTTGAAAGATTGGTTAAAAGCCGAAACTGCACTGGGACGTATTAGAGATTCACAATCTCCAGTAGCAGCACCTTTCTTCTTTGTGGCTAAAAAAGATGGCAAATTAAGACCGGTAATGGACTATAGAAAGCTCAATGAGAAGACAGTTAAAAACGCGTACCCGCTACCGAGATCTCAAGATTTAATTGATGCTTTAACCGGTGCCACGATGTATTCCAAAATGGATGTACGATGGGGGTACAACAATATTCATATGAAAGAAGGAGACGAGTGGAAGGCGGCCTTTAAAACGCCGTTTGGTCACCATGAACCAACCGTAATGTACTTCGGGTTAACAAACTCCCCTGCCACGTTTCAAACAATGATGAACGAGATATTCAGAGATTTGATTGATGGAAAGACCGTAGTGGTCTATATCGATGATATCCTCGTATTTATGAATGGCAATAAGGAGCAACACCGGAAGGTTGTAAAAGAGGTTCTTAGACGACTGAAAGAAAATGACTTGTACCTGAAGCCAGAGAAATGTAGCTTCAAACAGTCTAAAGTCGAGTTCCTAGGGTTGATAGTGGAGAAGGGTGGTGTTTCAATGGACCCTGTGAAAGTAGAAGGAGTGCTAAAATGGCCTGTACCCAAATGCATTAAAGACATACAAGCGTTTATGGGCTTTGCCAACTTCTACTGAAGATTTATTCTTGGGTTCTTGGACATTGCCAGACCAATGAATGATTTGCTGCGAAAGGATGTCAAATGGGATTGGACAGAGAAACAACAGAACACCTTTGACGAATTAAAAAGGCGATTCACAGAAGCTCCAGTCTTAGTCATGCCTGATGTTGAGAAGAAAATGAAAATAGAAACCGATGCTTCCGATTATGCAACAGGAGCGGTTCTATCTCAACTGATGGAAGACGATTTATGGCACCCAGTAGCTTATTACTTGAAGTCAATGAATGATGCAGAACGTAATTATGACATCCACAACAAAGAGTTATTAGCAATCATTCGAGCATTGGAGGAGTGGAGGCACTATGTGCAGGGAAAACCCCAACATGTAGAAATCTGGACGGATCATAAGAATCTTGAGTATTTCATGACGAGTCAAAAGTTGACAAGAAGGCAAGCCAGATGGAGTTTATTCCTGGTGGAGTACGAATTTACGCTCCAACATAAGCCTGGTGTAGTCAATGACAAAGCCGACCGTCTATCTCGGAGAGAAGACCACAGAGAGGGGGTAGAAAACGACAATTCCGATCCGTATTTGTTAAAACCGGAGTTTTTCACTGTAAAAGCTGCTAAAAGAGGTCAAGTTCTGGTGCAAGGAGAAAAACAATTGCTGAGAAAGATAAGGCAATGCACAGAACGAGAGCCCGAAGTCGCTAAAGCGCTAGAAACGCTAAAAGCAGCACCGGTACAACTGCGTAGAGGAATTGAAGAATGGAATGTTGAGGATGGATTGGTGTTGTTTCGAGGATTGGTTACGTTCCAAACAATAAAGAGATCTGCTGAGAGATATTGGAGTTGTTTCACGACTCTCCACCGGCTGGACACCCTGGACGTGCTAAAACCTTGGAGCTTATTTCCAGAAATTATTGGTGGCCTTCAATGACGAAGTATGTCCACGATTACGTAGATGGCTGTGATAGATGCAGACAAACAAAGATTCACCCGACGCAACCACATGGTCCGCTGTAGGGATTCATTTCTGGCTAGGCTTGGAGAGACTGTCTTTACCTTACCTTATGTTGGCACTTTGTAGCTTACATAATGAAGTTATCTTTTCACCAGTTACCAGTCTGTCCAAGTCTTGAGCAGTTTTTATGACATTTCCTCTCCTCTGAGCCTTGAGCCTGGTCCAGAAACCCTTTAGGGTCGAATAGCAGCTAGGTTCTGCAAGACCCAACATTGTTCAGACTTACCATCTGAATTGTTGTACCTTCACCGCTTAAACCAAATGAAATACCAGCGGGACCTTGGCAATCAATCACTTGTGATTTGATAGTAGATTTGCCTAAAAGCGAAGGGTTTGATAGTATTTTCGTTGTCGTCGATCGATACACGAAACAGACACATCTAATGCCTACAAAAAAGGAAGTTGACGCTCGAGGAATTGCGAAACTTTTCCTAGATAATGTATGGAAACACCATGGAACTCCGAAACAGGTGATATCGGACAGAGGAACACAATTCGTCTCAAAATTTATGGGACAAGTGTCGAAATGCCTAGGCATAAAATGGAACATGTTGACAGCTTATCATCCTCAGACGGATGGACAAATGGAAAGAATAAACCAAGAAGTAGAGCAATATCTGAGAATGTTCACGTCTTACCGCCAGAATGATTGGGTAGACTGGCTTTCAATAGCAGAATTCACTCACAATAATTCCGTCACTGTAACTGGTCATAGTCCATTCAAAATACTCTACGGATATAACCCCGAGTTTACTTTTTCACCAATTTCCAATTCTAAAGTACCTGCAGCTGATGAACGAGTGGATGCAATGAGAGAAGCTAAGGAGGATGCAGATAGTATGCTGCGAATGGCTAATGAGCGGATGAAAAGATTCTATGATAAAGGAGTCAAAGACGCACCACAATTCGAAAAGGGAGACATGGTCTGGCTTAACACCAAAAATATCCATCAGAAAAGACCAAATAAGAAACTCTCTGACCGACGACTCGGTCTGTTCAAAGTGCTAGAAAAGATGGGCAACATAAATTACCGCCTAGAGTTACCCGGGAAATATCAGATTCATCCAGTATTCCACGTGGAATTACTTACCCGCCATACTCCATCAACCCTAATCCAAAGACCTCCACATCACCGCCCGCCGCCAGAGATTGTATCAGAAGGCAATTCCAAATGGATAGTGCGAAAAGTCCTAGACTCGAGACTGCACAGATCCAAACTCCAATACTTAATAGAATGGGAAGGATATCTGATTGAAGAAGTGACATGGGAACCTGAGGAAAATGTAGAGAATGCACGGTTGAAAGTTCAGGAATTTCATTGGCAAAACCTGAAGGCATTGAATCCCCGCAAAATCAACAAATCAGTGTTTGAAACCAAGGAGTTTTTGGAATGGCGTAAAAACTTTATTCGTCCCAATGTCTTTCGCGATGACGCTCAACCTAGAGAGGGGGGTAATGTCACGAGTTCCAAATACAAACCATTATACTTTCCTAAATTCAAAGTCCTTTAAGCGCACAAGTACAGCGTCTGTACCAAAAGATAAACCTAAGAACATATTTATAGTTGAAGAAGCGCCTATGGCGTCTATTGTAGAATTACCGAATATCACTGTACCTGAATCACATGACGATGACAGTATGCCATGCGACACTCTTGGAATGTTCCAGAGTCTTACTGCGGCTGCGACACATGTTATGACATCATAGTTATATAAAGAATCGTACGATATTTTTAAATTATTCTCATTGGTTAGTCAGTTCATACTCAACTTCAATCTCCGTTTCAATATATGTATATAGGTAGTGTCTTGTAGTCAGTAGTTCTTTAGTTCAAACCTCTTGTATCTCCAAGTGAGCAATCCAAGACGTACCTGCTGCCTCATCCTTGTTGTGATCTTTCTGTGTTTGAGTCCTAGTCTCTGCCCTGCGTTAATTCGTTTAAGGGGTTGTGACACTAGGTTACTCCCTGTGGTATGTCTAATTGGTTACAGATTGTGCACACATTTTTCACGTTGCGACTCTGTCAGGCCTCCCACTCATCACCCTTGGAGGATATCGTTCAGCTCATTTCTGGTGAATTTCGAGGCTACGTTGCGATGAACCTGCTTATTATTGACCATTTAGCTGTTGTTATTATCTTTGAACACTCTTTCTACATTTTCGACAAGCGGCGCTATATTCAGAACAAGAAGGTGTCTGATCCCTCGTTTGATGTCGCTCTCGAGCAGTACATGGCATCTCTGCATGCAGCTACTGTCAGGGAAGCTGTGAGTGCCCCCGTCCGGGTAGTGCTGCCGCGGTCCGGTCCAGAACCACGGTTCGAACCGGACTTTTGGTCCGGTTCTCTGTGGTTCGGTCCATGGTTCCCTCACCAGCCAGAACCGGACCGGAAAGCGGTTCTGGGTTCTGGACCTTCACTAGTGGTCCGGTTCTGGTTCGACTTTCCCGAACCTTCCCGAACCGTTCCTTGACCTTCGAATTCCCTCGACTTCGACACCAACCACGACGACATCGGTGTCCATGTCGACATCAAAACACCGTCTTCGAGATTTGCATTATTTGTTAATCAGGCTACTGTTAGCCTTTTTGAAGGTAAGTACTAATCAATTTATTCTCAAGACTCTGACATATGTTTACCTATATCACAGATATCTACTTGTTCTAGTCTATATGCTTCCTGGATAGTCATGATCCTCCACCGGTTCTCAACTCTAACAGATCTCCTTGGATATTGTCGCTCTGTGGTGTTAGGCTATGTGCCATGCATAAAACGGGGTGCCGACCAAAAAACTGTGAGTTATTTGCCTGACGATGTCTGAAGACTGCTGTGCTCTGAACGCTGACGGCACCCTCAAGGATGCTTCTGAAATTACCTTTTTTAATGATCCTGACGATAAAGTACCATTGCCCCAGGTCGCATCTTCTGCCCAGCCATCCTCTTCCACTACATCCGCAAAGGACGCCTTCTCCGTTCTGCTCAAGGCTGGATGCACCCCAGCAACAGTTGCAGCTGGATCTAGGCACTCTGGCCGGCCCTCAAAACCATCGGCTCGTATTCACGATGCTGACAATGCCTGCGGTCTGTCTTCGTCAACTAACCGAAGGAAACGTGCTTTATCTAATGCTACGGATCATCCAGCCCCCAAGAAAACTGCCATGCGAATCTTATCCCCTCTTGACTCCGAAGATGAAGACATACCCTCTACACCTGATCTGGGAGAGTCGTCTGCTGACGAGCTGATCCCCCAACCAGAGGACGACAATGAAGTTGATGAATCTAAATCCGAGAACAGGTGCACCGCTTCGACTGTATGTACTCGTTTATTGTCTTCCTTGAGTCTCGACTAACACCTGTATTTAGCTTTCAAAAAGCGAACGCACAGCGGACATTAGGACTATATTTACCCGTTTACCTGATGGGTGGGTGTGTACACTATGCAAGTAAGTGGTCCATATTGTTTTTGATATATCGTTTAATAACTTTCAAACAAGGTCCGCTGGTGAACCAGTGCAGAAGCACACCTTTCGTGGAGGTACTTCGACACTTCGCACACATATTGTCCGCCACAAGAAGTCGCATTTTCAAGTCTACAAGGAGCGTTGTGAGGCCGCAGGCATCACAATGCACTCTCGTGCGATCCCACCTGGAGAAGACAACATCATGACACAATCGCAAACAACTCTCGACGGCAAGCTTGTTTGCAAACCACCTGCGTTCACCAAGGAAGGGTTCCTTGAATATATCATGGAACTTATCGTGACGGAAGACGACGTACGTTTATATATATATATATTTGCATCAATTCATTTACATCACACCAGGCAATACAATTAATTGACAAGCCAGCGTTTCGGCGTTTATTACAGTATGCGCGTCCCACCCTGACTGAAAAGGACATTCCGCATCGCACCAAGTTAACGGAAACTATCAAGTCTCGAGCAATGACCGTGGTTGAAAACATCAAGGAGCGTCTAGCGGTGAGTCTTGACCTACTTATATTATGGCATCAGTCTTAAAATATTTCATTAGCATATTGACAGTGCGGTGTCCATGACATTCGACTCATGGACATCGATAATCGGCAAACCATTTTTTTCGGTCACTGGTCATTATATTTGGAGCCCTGCCGGCAAACCACTGCAGTGGGAGCTGAGAAATGAGCAACTTGATTTCATGCGGATCGAAGGCAACCACAGCGGCCTCAATATCAGCAATATACTCGTTAGGACAATAGACAGGTATAATATTCGCAACAAGGTATGTTTTCCAGAGTCTGGCTTCAGCTGTGGATTGACTTCGATTGCATAGGTTGGATGGATGACGTCGGACAATGCCTCAAATAATGATACCACTATGAATGAAGTTGCAAAGGCCATAGACGAGGACGGGACCCACTGGCTTCCAGGTCCCCGCCGCATCCGCTGTCAAGAGCACATCTTGAATCTTGCGGCGCGACATTTTGTTGATGGAGTCGCACCCACCCCACAGGCCACATTACTACGCAAGATTTGTCATGCTATTGATCATGATGAGGAAACTGACATCACTAGCTTGACTGCACAACTTGCGGCATTGGAACACGACCCTGATGCTATTGTGGAGGACGGTTTCGATGTCGGCGATGCTGTTGGAAAAGCACTGGCACTCATTGAACAGGTAAAGTCCTCTTTTTTTGTCTTCGAGTTCTCATTGACGCAATCAATAATTAGATCTGCAAATCACCACAAGCTCAAGCATTTTTCAAAAAATCATGTGAGGAAGAAGGTGTTGCTGTTCGTGAGATTTTGTCATGGGTGAGAACGCGCTGGGCGTCCTTATTCAAGTGCCTCGAGCGCTTCTTGTCCCTTCGCCTGGTAAGTCAGACATACAATCACTGGTTTAGTATCTAACATCTTTCAGGCTGTCAACCGCTTTACTCTGCTTGCTGACGAAAGCCACGAAGTCCCAAAGTTGCGCAACAAGGCATATAGCGACTTCAAGCTTGATCGAGCCGACTGGAGAAAGCTACGGCTAGTGCATGATGTCCTCAAGGTATTTATTTGTATATTCATTTTTATTTTATTTACTTATTGTTATAGGAACCTGCGACTGCACAGCAATCGTTCTCTTCGGTCGCGTACCCAACAGCCTGGCAGACCATACCCACGCTAGAGTGTCTCGCTAGCACGTGGGGGGCAATGGCCGGAAATCCAGAATATGCAATCATCGCGGACGCCATTACGAAGGGTCTCAAGAACGTCGAGAAGTACTACCAGAAAGCTAGTGACTCAGACGTCTACTTTATCTGTCTAGGTGAGTATCTTTTTTTTTTGCTTAAGTCCATGTCTCATTTTGTTACAGTTCTTGACCCTAACTATAAGTTAGCATACGTCGAACAGCGATGGACTGTGACAAAGGTCGCAAACGGGAGGGCTCGTTTTGAGGCAGTGGTGAGTACTATTCAAACTTAAGTACCCTACCGGTCTCTAACTCCAGATGTATTCTTAGTTTGACAAATATTATCAAGCGCCTCCAGCCCCAGGACCACATCCCAAGGAGCCAGAGGCCACGTCATCAACAATGAAAGCTTCGATTCGTTATGGTGCTTCCTGGATGCGCGACGCTATCATGGAACGTCAAGCTACAGACCATCGCACGCGCGATCCTCATTAAGAGCTCTCTGCATACCTTACTTCACCATTGGAGGAGACTGATGATGTTGTGGCATGGTGGGGTGTAAGTCAGCCCTCAAATTCATTGTTCCCCGCTTACATTCTTGATTAGTTACATTCGCTGCAGTACCCAACACTAGCTCGTGTTGCGCGTGATTACCTGCCCATTCAAGGCAGTTCTGTTCCCTCTGAACGCGCTTTCTCCAGCGCGGGCATCACATCAACTCTGCGCCGCAACGCACTCGCATCATCCACTTTCTCCGCGCTACAATTGATGAAGGCAGCCTATAAGAAT